GTCAACATTATTGTTATGGCGACAGACTTAGGAAGATAATGGGGACTTAGGAAGAGAAGAAGGAGGGATATTTGGTTTATGTTCATTAAAGCTTATTTATAAAAAAGCTTGTAATAACAATATGTTTCGGCATTGGAGGTAGGAAGCCATAGTTTCTCTGTAGTTGAAGTTTCCTTCTACCTTGAGCCTGATCACAGTTTCCACCAGGTGTGATAAAGGGCAAAAGCTTCCTTGCTGAGAATAAAAACATGTTCTGTTCAGTTATTGTCTCTAAATCTGTTCTACGTAATGAAAACTTAGAAGATTGCCCATATTAATTCACTTTAAGAAAGTCAAAAACATTTAGCGACTTACCACTTTAGTGGAGCGATTACAAAAATAGTGGCCTATTAAGTATATGTTTTTTTTGTATTATTATGAATGTCCAGAAAACTGCGTAGTTTTTAAAATTATTTTAGACCTATGAAAGTTCTAATTTTTTATTATTTAAACATTTAAGTTGAAATTTTGAGAATGTTCTGCTAAAAGCATTTTTTTTATGTTTCTAGCAAAAATTTTGAATCTTGCATCAAAGATAGGAAGGTGAATATTTTTTTCAAACATTTGCAATTAATAGCGATATTGTCAAAATAAATAAATCTGAGATAAGTCATTTCGAAATTTTCGATAATATTCATTCGAAATAAAGATAAGTTTTTTTAAAGCCTACTAGGTCATGAAATTGAAAAAAAGTTACAAAATTATTGATAACTTCTAAACTACGAAAAAGCCGCGGGCAAAAGCGTGTAATATTATAATATTATCATTATGTACTAATCAATTCCACTACTTTATATAAAGATATTAACGAAACACTCTAGATATTCAACTTTGTACTCATTTCGATACGGAATATGAACATATAATGTACACAGCATTCACCAGTACATTTTCCAAGTCGATCATTAAATTCAAGCAAACCGCTATTACTGTATTCGCCATACATCCTTCAGATCAGCGCACAACGCTGCAATGCACTATTGCTGTATGATTAATTTCGCACTTTTTACCGGAATAAAACCACAATGGACTCTTACGGAACCGACTTTCAATGTATGAAGCGGCAATATGTATTTCTACCTTTTTTAAAGATTTCTTACCATTTTTTACCCCCCCCCCCCCCCTGTCCTCAAAAGTAAGCAAAGCACTTACCCCCCCCCCCCCCTCTTCCCTAAACATTTTTTTTTAAATTTTTTTTTTATTTTTATTTTTAAAATAGGAAAATACATGAAAATATTAGGTTTAAGTGATACACATAGAGTAAGGGACAATAAAATATAATCAGAAATAAAGAACATAACAAACATAATTGCATCAATTTATGCATCAACATAAACACAAATGATAACTTTCAGTGCTTACAATATTACGTTTAGTACCCAAACAAAACGCGCGCGGGCGGCCGGCCTCGCGTATAATAAATATGCGGACTACGACTCTCAAATTTCAATGGGCAGTGTCGGCACGAGAGATGTGCGGTAATTCCCCTAAACAGTTCTCAAAGCGAGTGCCTTACGCATGTATTATTAGCGGGAATCCCCGAAAAAAACGTTAATAACTAACGATGACGTAATCATCATCTAGACCCCCTACCCCCCATGTCATCCAAAATAAGCAAAACCAGAGACCCCCCCACCCCCCCCTTGGTGCTTACGTAATACTTGAACGGNAACTTCACTTGGTAAGTTCGTTTGATCATCTAAATATTTTCTTATTAAATGGAGTAAGCAACTAGCACTTATGCATAAAAATGGTGGAGCAAGACGCGCTTAAAGTAAATACTCTTGGTTCCTTTCGGAAATTAAGAATACAGTATAAACAGTCTTCTGAGTACCATGAAGTAGAGTCAAACAACAGCTTCAAAGATTATCATAAAAAAGTACCCTTTTTAGCAACTTTACCCAACTTAACAAACTCTTAAAAGGCATCTGAGGCTCCTGAGACATGTATAGGCTCCTTAAGAGCATTTGACGATTTGTAAGTACTAATTTAATTAGTCTATACAAATAAAGATAATTTTGATTTAGATTTTTTGATTTTGAGGGTTAGGTGTCTGGATTAAATCGTAGACGTTTAGAAGGGATTTTAAATGTATATTTTTTTACCCAGGAACAATAAACCCCCTCGCGCCGAGTTCCCGCCGCAACTTCCACCCAGCTCAGGCGCGCTGGGGCGCAGTCCCGGACAGACCGCACGCGTTCAGTCTGCGGCCAAACTCCTACATCTGGATCGCTTCTTCGGAGCTCTTTGCTGCGGGCAACACGTTTCCTAGGGAGTTCACATTGTTTGTGTCTCTGAGGCTACGGCCTGAGGTGAGCTTGATATTGATATAGATAGATAAAGTCTCTTACAGACCGCACGCGTACAGCCTGCGGCCAAACTCCTACACCTGGATCGCTTCTTCAGAGCTCTTTACGGCGGGCAGCACGTTTCCTAGGGAGTTCACGCTGTTCGTCTCTCTGAGGCTACGGCCTGAGGTGAGTTTGAGCTGGATATTAAAGTAGAGAGAGTCTTGGACAGACCGCACGCGTTCAGCCTGCGGCCAAACTCCTGCATCTGGATCGCTTCGTCAGAACTATTTGCTGCGGGCAGCACGTTTCCTAGATAGTTCACGCTGTTCGTCTCATTGAGGCTACGGCCTGAGGTGAGCTTGATATTGATATAGATAGATAAAGTCCCTTACAGACCGCACGCGTTCAGTCTGCGGCCGTACTCCTACATCTGGGTCGCTTTTTCAGAGCTCTTTGCGGCGGGCAGCACGTTTCCTACGGAGTTCACATTGTTCGTGTCTCTGAGGCTACGGCCTGAGGTGAGTCTGAGCTGGACAATGAAGTAGGCTACGGCCTGAGATGGGTCTAAGCTCGGTATGGAAGTAGAAAGATATAGTCCCGGACAGACCGCAGATGTTCAGTCTGCGGCCAAACTCCTACATCTGGATCGCTTCTTCGGAGCTCTTTGCTGCGGGCAGCACGTTTCCTAGGGAGTTCACGCTGTTCGTCTCTCTGAGGCTACGGTCTGAGGTGAGCTTGATATTTATATAGATAGATAAAGTCCCTTACAGACCGCACGCGTACAGCCTGCGGCCAAACTCCTACACCTGGATCGCTTCTTCAGAGCTCTTTGCGGCGGGCAGCACGTTTCCTAGGGAGTTCACGCTGTTCGTCTCTCTGAGGCTACGGCCTGGTGAGTTTGAGCTGGATATTAAAGTAGAGAGAGTCTTGGACAGACCGCACGCGTTCAGCCTGCGGCCAAACTCCTGCATCTGGATCGCTTCGTCAGAACTATTTGCTGCGGGCAGCACGTTTCCTAGGGAGTTCACGCTGTTCGTCTCATTGAGGCTACGGCCTGAGGTGAGCTTGATCGGTATCAATTTCGGTACATCGGTAAGTAGATAGATACAGTCCCTTACAGAACGCAAGCGTTCAGCCTGCGACCAAACTACTATATCTGGATCGCTTCATCAGAATTCTTCGCGGCAGGCATCACGTTCCCAAAACTCACCTCAGTGAGTTACACCTGAGTTTAGGGTTGATTTTGAAGTGGAAAGATGCAGTCCTGGGCAGAACGCACGCGTTCAGTCTGCGTTCTAATTCATTTGGATCGCTTCTTCGGAGCTCTTTGCTGCGGGCAGCACGTTTCCTAGGAAGTTCACGCTGTTTGTCTCTCTGAAGCTACGGCCTGAGGTGAGTTTAGGGTTGATTTGGAAGTAGTAAGATGCCTTTCTGGAAAGATCTCACACGTTTAGCTTGCGACCAAACCTTACATCTGGATCGCTTCGTCAAAACTCTTCGCAGCAGGCAGCATAATATTTCCTAGAGTGGGTGGGACCTAAATAAACTAAAGACAAGACCTCTACCTAGTTTAGTTACTTCTAGATGTTAGGAACCAGTTATGCAGAACTATAGAGACTTTTTAGGTTCAACCAGTAGAAAGTACCCGTTTTGATCTGTAAACCCTCTATTCGATATCTAAACAACTTTTTTAAAGGATTGAAAACTTCTAGATTACGAAACATTTATAAAGTCTTTCCTTAAAGATTTATTTGAATAGAAAGTCAGTTGAAGTTTTTGTAACTTCTTCTATCTTATCTTTATACTGGAATCATTATAAGCTCTTCGACTTTAAAAACAAATTCCCCAGGGAATCCCCGCTACTAATATCCGTGGTTAAGGTCTGAGAGGGGAAACTTTTAGAAGCCATCCATCTTCTGATACAAAGTACAAACATGTCGTGCTATTTCGTTTTCACATTTGCATGTTTACATACTCAAAGTACACAACAAAGTCACTCCTGCTAATGTGCGCTTGGATCTTTTAAACTACGCAACGGATTTTAATTCCGTTTTCAGAAAAAACAAAGAGTAATTATAAAGGCAGGTTTACATGGTAATAAGTAGAGTTGGGGCGGATCGCCAGTAGTTAATATAGATCGTTTCATCCACGAAGACGCGCCCTACTAATTTTTGGTCAAAAGAAGCGCGGGGTACAGGGAGTTTGATCCAAACTATTCGAGCGTCATTTTTGTAGTCTGCGTGTGCACTTATGGATGATTTAACGTATACCGGTAATACTCAAACATTCGCGGAAGAATGGTGGGGCGCGTCTTCGTCTTGGATGATTAACGATCTATACTCGCTTAAAGTATTTATTCTTACAAATGATCTAAAAACTTGTTATAATGAAAATCTTAAATGGTATTTGTTGAACTGTTTACATAAAAGGCTGTGTTTTGTTTTCATAACTATTGTTGTTGAACACGTGTCACTCATATTCAAAGCACATATCAATTTCATCAATATTTCTCATATATTTGCTCATTTAGGAGGCTTAGCTGCGTAACTATTCGATATTAGAATATCACGGCACGAGCCAATTGAATCCATACTAATATTATAAATGCGAAAGTAACTCTGTCTGTCTGTGTCGCTTTCACGCCTAAGCCTCTGAACCAATTTTAATTAAATTTGGTATTGAGATAGTTTGGATCCCGGGCAAGGATATGGGATAGTTTGTATCCCAGTTTTCGAAACAGGGACGCGCGCGATAAAGTTTTTCTGTAACAAACAAAATTAACAAACGAAGCCGCGGGCTGAAAGCTATTTCTTATAAATTTATAATATCTCAGGTAATCATTTAAAAATGAGATGGATGGATGGATATTGAAACAAAAATACCAACCTGATGGAGGCGAGAGTCAAATACAACTATTTTTCTTTCTTTATATCGATCAATCTTCATAAAATGATGTTACTTACAATTTCACAGGTTTGTTACGTGTTACTAAGGCCCAGTTTCGTAGTTAAAATAACCAATTTTAAAATGTATGTAAAAATAACACCAATAAAAGAAGACATTGTCTTATCCTTTTCAATGTCAGCTAAATGTTAAATTAAAGTTAAGGTCTTATTTTCACAATGTCAACTTTTCCGGATATTTTTAATTCAGGGTTTTTCCACAAATCTATAATATCTTCAAGATACTGTGAGTCGAAAATTCGGAAATTCTAGAGCGAAAAATCCTAGTTATTTGTTCCCTTAGACATTGTTTCTAGAATCGGCTTATTTGTCACCTAAAGTAATTCAATTTATTTCTTCAGTAAACCTTATCTCAATCACAATTGTTTGATATTTCTTCGGTGTTCAGAATAAAGCGTTTATTTCACGAGACCTTGATATTTTCCGAGCAGGCCCGAATATTTTTATAGGCTGCCTTGAACAAAATAATTTCTAAGTAAAATAATACGAATCTGTAGACTGTACCAGTTTGCTTGGTATAATTATTAAAATTTTCTGGCGTTAAAATTTGCCTCTCGATCTAAATTCTTAAAATAACTTGAAAAAATTGAACTGCCTAAGGTGGCCGTAAAAGCGTATTGACACTTGAAAATTTCGACAGGTTCATCCAGTGTCTAAGTAGCTCAGATGGAAGAGTAGTCGCCCGGCAAGCGAAAGGTCGTGGATTCGATTCGCACCATAAGCAGTTAGATTTTTTTAAGTTATTTAAAAAAATACTTGTATAAGTTTCTGATAACGGTGACTTTATCCATATCCAAGACTTAAAACCAAAAAAATTAGTTAATTCGATTGACATAATAGTCTAATAGGGACTTTATGTAAACTGGTTTACCGAGTCAGAGTTACTGAATTGAAGATGGTAAATTTGCTGAGTTACTCATATCCGATACCAAGTGACGTTATTACTGTACAGCTATAAATACAAGTAAATGATACACAAAATACATAAAACAGCCATAAAATAATATGCACGCTCACCTCATAAATCTGGAGAAAATTAATCCAACACTAGATAAAATACATTGTTTGGATGTTACTTTGTATTTTGTGGTTCACGCCCGGGACAACTAACAGTTGTCGGGTCGTATTAAACGCAAACATGGAATAGCGAAATACGAAATGACATACTTACAGTGTTTGTGTATGTTCAACATAATGTTACACAGTGCTACTATGAAGCTATTTTCTCAATTTGTGTTCCATTATCTTTTACGACGCAAATGATGTAGGATATACGTTTTACTATTTAAAATAGAAGCCAATTGATGTAGTAGAACTTAATACTGGTTGCTCGAAATACACTTATGTACCTACCTATGTAGGCTTTGATATTATAAACTATTATGTTGCATTTTTACTATAAAATTATCACTTCACGGGATTTATTGCAACAATATCTATTTTAACGGTAAATAAAATATTTACCCTCCCGACGTTTCGGCTCGGTGGCACGAGTCATGGTCATTGTTGCAAATAAATCCCGTGAAGTGATAATTTTAAAGTTTTTATTTATTTTATTTTCACCAACTTATACCATCTTAGCAGGTCAATAACCTAATGCGATCCTCCTGTTGCGAATGAATCATTAAATTTGTAATAACTGCAGCCACAAACCAGTTTCTATAGTTTAATAAACGCAAAGGGCGTTTAATAGAGGTCCTAGATTTGGTTCCAAGAATAGGACACGCCCTTTGTGTCTCATACTTAGAACCAAATCTAGGACAATAGATTCTAATTTAGGACAATATTAAGATTCTGATCTAGGACAATATTAAGGACTAAGAGACGGGTATTTAAGTAGTCTTTAGATGACTTAGGTTTTATTCCATAGTCTTCTTACTTTTTTACAACTTTTTTCCATCTTAGAACCACTCAATATAACCCCTTATTTACTGGTTCTAACAATGCCATAAAAGGGCTAAATACTGATCAAATGTTTCCTCCACAGAGCGGCGGCTACGGCCAAGGGACCCTCTTCTCCCTCCGCTCTAGACGGAGGACAGGGTCCTTCCTCTCTCTCGAGCTGGCGGGGAGAGGGGCTGCGAGGCTGGTACATGCGGGATCAGGGTCCTCAAGGTCCATCTACTTGGCTGTCCCGCTGTATGACTTTCGCTGGCATCATATTGCTATCAGGTATGTAGAGAAACCAACCGACCGACCGACGATATCATAAAGGTAGCAGGGAAGCGCTGGACGCAGGCCGCTACCAATCGGTCAACATGGAAAGCATTGGAGGAGGCCTATGTTCAGCAGTGGACGTCCTATGGCTGAAATGATGATGATGATGTGGAGAAGACGAAGACATAGGTTCTTACCAGGCATTTTCTGTCATTGAAAGCTTGCTACTTCAGGCGAGATTCTTCACACATCCTTGGAAGTAGCTTGTAATAAGCAAATTACCAGACGACCGCTCTAACGACCATTATTTATGTATGCTACAAGATTATCTTACTTAGTTTGGCTACAGTTGCATTCGTTTTCCAAATTAGTTCAAGGCAATGTCTCTACAGTCTACTTTGGTTCAATCAACATATCAACCAACATGTCATTTTTGCAAATGCCGATATGCCGTTATTGAAAAAATAGATTTTTAAATATTTTAACGTATCATTTTTGTAACAAAGTTATAATAATATCTACTACTATTTTCTTAAAAAGCATCTTTCATTATCTTTGCTCAGTTTAAATATTCTCCAAACTACAGAATATAAAGTCAATGAAATTCAAGTTTAAGCGCATACCTATTGTAGCCATTGTATTTGAAATCTCGCAACAAAGAGGATTTTACACATGCATTCTTTGTTGGCAAAGACGGTTTGTCCTTAAATGAAAATGCCAGCATATTTTGGCTAAGCAGAGCAAATATTTATTGCCTTTAAGTTATACTAGAAGCTCGCCGCGACTTTAATGAATTGAATATTGTATTGGACTGAAAATAAAAAGATTAATGTAAGAATAATGTAATGTAGAATAATATAACATTTCCATACTAATACGGCATATAATATAACTGTTACGATCAAAGTGATAAATGTGAAAATTATGAATAATCGCCGGTTATTATGAACTAGCTGTGCCCGCGACTTCGTCCGCGTGGAATAATGACTTTGGGTAGGCACTTTTAATCATTTAGTCTAATTATTTTACAAATAGCTTTTGCCCGCGACTTCGTCCGTGGAGAAGTCGAAAACGTTCTCATACGATTATTTTTAAAGGTTTTAACGTTATTATCAAAATGTTTGAATACTTTTAAAATATAATAATCAGGTTAAATAAACATGAAAATATTTTTTTCTTATATTTTATGAATATGCAGCTCGGCCTTTGATCCGGTGAAAGTTACTCGGTGGTATTATTTTTTTACAACGAAATCGAAAACTACACCGACCGCAGTATTATTGGTAAACTTTTTTTTATATTTTCCTACGGGTGCTAGAATCACCAAGCTTCCAGCATGCCACTGGCCGTGGGAGAAGGAGCTTTTCCTCAAGACTACTCCCACTACCTCAAGGGCCTCCGCCAAAACTCTCGCGCGAAAATGAGTTTATGTATACAGCGCAAGCAGGTGCCCGCGGCATGACTTTCATGCATTACTATGCATTGTTGGGCGAGCGCACGCAGCGGGCACCCACTCCGAGGTTAAGTGGAGGCCCCTAGAGTATGGTAGTCGTTAACATGACGTCATGATTGTAAAAAAATGCACTAATGAGTAATTAATATCAACTTTGAAGCAAATCACCACTAAAATAACTTTCTACCCCTTTTTAACATAGTTAGGGGGTGCATTTCACTAAAATACGAAACACGTCTTCCATTAATTCTGTTATAGAATGCTTATGCAAAATTTTAAGTAGATTGGACGAAGGAATCTCGTTATTTCATACAAACTTTGCCCCTCCTTTTTACCTCCTTAGGGGTAGAATTTTGGAAAATCCTTTCTTATCAGATGCTTACGTCATACAAAGAACACACCGTCCAAGTTTCAGGTCTTTACGATCAGCGGTTTAGGCTGTGCATTGATCCATCAGTAGCGCGCGTAGTACTTGATCATTATTTTGCTGCGATGTGATTTTAAAACTGCGATATCTCCTAAGATATTTATTGAAATCGAATGGTGTAAAGGGCAAGAATGTTTAAAATTAAATACTTGTGGTGAATAATTTATTTATTTGGATAAGGATTAATATCATGTTTATAAAAACACCTTCGCAAATAATGCATTATTTTAAGACAGATTTTTTTTTGCATAAAAATGGTTACTATGAGCCAACCTTAAAAGATAGACATATGCTACCGCGAACTTTTTTAAAGAACTTTTAAAGGGGAACAATCCTGTCATACATGATTTTTGCGAAACTTTAACCGTTTACGCAGCGTCAGCTCTCAAAAGGAAAAAATTCACTGATTTGAAATATTCTTGATTGGTGCTCCGCTCCTATTGGTCTTAGCGTGATGATAAATAGCCTAAAGCCTTCAGGAACTAACGGGCTATCCAACACAAAAAGAATTTTTCAAATCGGTCCAGTAGTTCCTGAGATTAGCGCGTTCAACCAAACAAACAAACAAACAAACAAACAAACAAACAAACTCTTCAGCTTTATAATATTAGTATAGATAATTACCGCATGATTTGGTAAATGTGATTAATATGAGGTCATTTATGTGTGTATAAAACTAAATAGGCGGCTTAGGGGTGACCTAAAATACTAAAATATTTTTTGAAATTATGTGAGGAGCTAAACTAATACAAACATAGTAGAAAACATCTTTTCTTAAAAACTAAGTCGAAAATAAAGCCAAAAACAGTGTTACTGTCCCATATAAGACTAAAGGCTCGGTTGCACCATCTTACTTAAACGTCAAATATCTGTCAAACTCCATACAAAAACACCAGTTATCGTTATAGTTACGGTAAAATTTTGGTGGCGCAACTTAGCCTAATTTAATTTTGTGAGCAACGAATTTCAAAACTTAGAATAAAATTAGGCTGTTTTAGACGTTTAATTAAAATCACGTGTCAACTTTTTCTTAAGCCTTGGATAAAGAATAAAAGCCTACATTTCAGTTTTCAGCATCGTTTGCTAATTGCCAGGCTAAAATATTGAAATCCCGAGAGCTTGTCAACAGTTTTCAGGTCCTTAAATTAATTTTAGTTCTCGGGATTTCGTTGGATTAGATTGAAACAATAGTAGTGCTAAAACTGGTTTAAGATTATGAATGAAAATATTAAATGGTTAGAATGCTGGATGTAGTTAATTAAAGTTACTATAGAATACAATAGAATACTTTTTATATGACATAAAAGTATACAATCAGCAAGACATACATAACATACAAAATGTTTTTTAAACAAAATTATGTCGAACTTATCCTAGTTGTAAAAATTAAAGTATGTTTTACACCTTCATTATTATTAACGTGGCAAAATATTTCTAAGAGAAAATTAAATCAACCTTGTTAACCTAATTGACTCGGGTTTACCGAATAACGTTACCACAGACATAATAAACACGTTACCCTAAACGGTTACGTAAATAATTTATTTAGCTTACTTTGAGTTTAAAAACAACGAGTAAACACAGTATTTCAAAGTTAGATAGCCATAATATAAGCGGACGAAATAGTCTAGAAAAATTTAGCGCTTGGAAAATTTTGTTACACATCTGGGTTAAAATTCTCGTAGCTATTAAAAATATGCGCAAAATAAATTTTTAATCTCGGTTCGACAAGTCACGTCATGTCGATTGCACCAACACTTTAAACGTCAGTAAATATTGATGCCTACTTACCTTAACGCAATTTATTTAATTTCGATTCAATTTCTAATTGAAGAAAGTAACGTCAAACGTTTGAATATAAAGATCTTAGTTTTATTAAATTCGTTATTGGATTAGGTCACAATTACATAGTTTTCAACGGCTATAATTAAAGGTTATAATTAAAATATTTTGAGATTATAACATTAATAAAATTGTAAAAAAAATGCCGCTCTCGCGATGTATTTACGCGACTAACGGCGTGTATCTTTTTTATCTCTACAATTTTACTTTATTTATTATGTTACAGCTTAATTTGTATCATACTTCATTGGATGTGAAGAACTTACTTGCCCGAAAAGCTCTACCCATTAAAAGACACACGCTGTCATCCGGTGCCATTAGGTCGGAAGTAGAGTGACACAGGCAGAGTCCATCGACCTACGTCCGGTGTACGGAACCTAACTAGCTATACGTGATTACTTACGTAACTTTCATTTTATTTACGAACCTAGCTTCTGATGTAGGCTTTACTTAATCGAATTAAATGTCCACATACTTTGTTCTTAAGCCGGCACATAATGGTTTTTTTACCGCGATAAAATATTTTTCTCCAACTGTTTAACTGAAAATGGATTTTTTTAATTCATGATCGTTTTTAATTACATTATGTTTTGCGGCTATACCCTGGCCACTAAGAAATAACATTCTTTTTTCTACTGATAATTTCATTACTGATTTGTTTTATTTTTCAATTTTTACACATTTTTTTTATTTGCGAGCTCTTTTGATCACATTACGTTTAATTGGCGGACACTGGCCACCAAGAAACGTCATTATTTTTCAACGAATACTTTCGTTACTGTTTTGTTTTTTTCTCATCTTTCTTTCTCTTCATTATTCGCGCATTCCACGACTTGAATTTGTAAATAATTTCTCTATTAAAGTCTGTAGGTACCTCATAATATTATTATCGATTATACCTAAGTTATGCGGCGTCGAACGATTCCACGAGGCATACAAAACCCCGTCAAGCTGACAACATTACGTAATTTACAAAATTATAATATGAGAAATATAAATAAAATATTCTCACTCACTGGATAGGTATGTGCCCGTTTAAGTTGGCCGGGTAAAAACTTGAGGGCTCTTGTGCCGGCCTTTAATGAAACCTGCAGCAAGTTTCGAAGCAAAAAAATGTTTTACGTGAAAAAGCGGTCAAGAGATGGATAATAAGTACGTTAACCGTTTTATGTGGAATTCTTGGGCTGAGTTTGACAGATTTTTGACGTTTGTTAAAGTCAATTTAAGATGGTGCAACCGGCCTTAAAGTCTGTGTTTTTTTGTCAAGATCAATTTCGAGCAATTAATGAGTTT